AGGATGCATTATCTGATCCGGGTTGGAAGAAAACTATGGAGGAGGAGATGGATGTCTTACATCATAACGGGACTTGGGATCTCGTTCCTTTACCTCCTGGTAAACGAATTGTTGGTTGTCGTTGGATGTATGCTGTTAAATTTCATCCGGATGGTTCTGTGGAGCGTCTCAAAGGCAGACTTGTTGCAAAGGGCTTTACTCAGACTTATGGTATTGATTATGAGGAGACTTTCTCTCCTATTGCCAAAATTTATTCAATTCGTATCTTGATTTCTTTGGCTGCTAATCTTGATTGGTTCTTGTTTCAGTTAGATGTCAAGAATGCCTTCCTACATAGTGACTTGGTTGAAGAGATATATATGAAGCAGCCACCTAGATTTACTGCTCAGGGGGAGTATGGTAAGAGTGTATGTCGGTTAAAGAAATCTTTGTATGGTTTGAAGCAGTCACCAAGGGCAGGGTTTGGTAAGTTTTCAGATGCAGTTTTAGAGTTTAGTCTTCTTCGATGTCAGACAGATCATTCTGTGTTTCATAGACGGACAGATGCTGGATATGTTCTATTGGTGGTCTATTTAGATGATATTGTGATTACTGGAAATGATTCTGAGGGGATTGCCAAGTTAAAAATATTCTTGCAGGATCGATTTCATACTAAGGATTTGGAAAAACTCAAGTATTTCTCGAGTATTGAGGTGGCTCGATCTAAACAGAGTATTTGTTTATCCCAGAGGAAATATGTACTTGACATGCTAGAAAAAGCAGGTTTGCTGGGTGGCAGACCTATTAATGTTCCTATGAATCCGAATCAAAAACTTTTGATGGATGATGGTGCACTGTTTGAGAATCCGGGTCGGTATCGCAGATTGGTTGGGAAGCTCAATTATCTCACTATTACTCGACCGGATATTTCCTATGCAGTCAGTATAGTAAGTCAGTTCATGGGGTGTTCTAGAGTACCACATTAGGAAGTAGTTACTCGTATTCTGCGATATCTCAAACAAACTCCTAGACTTTGACTGTTATATCGAGGTAATGGACATCTTAGAGTGGAAGGTTTCTCAGATACTAATTGGGCTGGCTCTCCTTCTGATCGGAGATCAACCACTAGTTATTGTACTTTCTTAGGAGGTAATGTTGTCTCATGGAAGAGTAAGAAACAATCTGTGGTAGCAAGATCCAGTGCTGAGACCGAGTATAGGGCAATGACACATACAACGAGTGAGTTGACTTGGCTACTACACTTACTTCAGGAAATTGGGTTTCCAGTTCAACTTCCTTTACAGTTGTTCTGTGACAACCATGCAGCTATCCATATCGCTGTCAATCTGGTGTTTCACGAGAGCACCAAGTATATTGAAGTTGATTGTCACTTTATTCGGGACAAGATAGCAATTGGGGAGATTACAACTCCATTTGTGAAATCTAAAGATCAGCTTGCAGATATGTTTACCAAAGCATTGAGTCGTACACGTCTTACAGTGATTTGTTCCAAACTTAGATTATATGATATATATAATCCAGCTTGAGGGGGAGTGTTAAGAATATTAGGGTAGTATATGTAAATTATTAATAGTAAGAGGGTGTATGTATAATTCTTATTATTGTGAGTTAACTATAAATATAAGTGTTGTATGAGAGCTAAGTTATGTTGTTAAGCTCTCTCTTTCTCCCTAAATATTGTCTCTAATATTGTGTTAATCTTCCAAACTTAACAATGACTATCACAATCCTTGTATATAAGCATAAAATCACAAAGTTACAATCGCTAAAGGAGCATAGATTTCATATACACGAACTAAATACATGAACCTCATCCAAGCAAACCTTTCAGATTGAATGGTTTACCAGGTTATACATGGAGATAACATGGAGATAAAACTTCCAGGAACCAAAAAGAATATGAAAAAGAACAGAGCCCCCGAATGCAGTCTTGTGATAGTGATAAATACCTCGGTTGGTGGACAACCATGCAGATGTTCACCCCTTCAAGAGCTTCACGTCGAAGTGCTCTCAATAGTAGCTGAGAAGAAGAACTGTCCAAACCAGATGTGGGTTCATCTAAGATCAGAAGTGAAGGTTCCATCACCAGTTCCAGCCCAACATTCACCCGCTTTCTCTGGCCCCCAGAAATTCCTCGCTTCTCTACTGTTCCAACCAAGGAACCCCGCACTGCCTGCAACCCCAAGGACTCAATAACTCTTTCAAGAATGAGAACCTTATCTGGCTTTGGCAGGTCTGCGGATAATCTTCAATTATTAAAACAATGAAAAGCAGTCAGTAGACAAAAGATGTACGGCAGTGATTGGATGATGTAGACAAAAATAAACATATTGAGCACCGAGGATGGACTAAATTAACATTGGAGATTCCCAAAATGTCTATTCATATTACACTTCAATTTTTGGGCAGCTTCCCTTCAATTTTGTTTTTGTTATCTTGAATCAATCAAATAGTAGGACGAGTAGATTGATGCGGATGTGGCCTGGATAAAGTGACAGTAGAAGAAATGATAGGATAAACTATACATTTGAGAATGATAGTGCAGCAGCAACTAAATAAAGTGTGGGAGAAGGTTTTCACAGATGCTTTGATTTTACAAAATGAAGAGCCATGATTCGATTTGTACGCATTACTACAACAAATAGAAATTCATGGACTAAAGTGGTGAAGCAAGACATGGCATCCAAGGCAAAGTAGGGTTCACACTATCAATCCCAACAAATCCACATTTTAATCTTTGTTAAAAAAAAAAAAAAAATTAGCGGAATCCCCAATTTTAGAAAGAAGCTCAAAAGAATCACAATTTAAGCAAGTTCGAAAGGGCATATTGACCTGCCATCTCAATAGAAACGAATCACACCCATGCGGCACCACACAGAAGAGCAGCTTAAAGCAGCACTCTGCAACCCAGACACATTGAGCTAGGACAGCCTGGGGTTGATTTCCTTCCAATGCCAACACGCAAAAGGTTGGTGAGGAGTCTCCAAGCCCTGTGTCCTGATGAAGGCCAGGGCCTCCCAAAGGGTCACATGTCATATAGCCAACTTTGGGCATGCCCACTGTCTTAGGCTTGAATGGTCAAGCTGCCAAAGATTAAGCCAAATATCGAACCTCTGAGGGAAACTTTGCACGTCCTATCAACCTTTAAGTGGGTCTATATGCCCCTCTACCTTTAGACCAAAATCAGGGTCCAGGACTGCTCTATGGTGTTAGGTTCCAATGCTAGGATAGTCTTGCCCTAGGGTAATAAGCAGTCATGGTTTAAGGTCGTGGTATTCGCCGTCGACTCGGATAGCAATTGACCGTGGCGCATTATTGGACAATACAACCTAAAAGAAAAAGTTGAATATGGTGATAAATTCAGTCCATGTCGTAGCGTCGCGGAACGATGTCAGCCAATTCGGTGACAAGTAATTAACATTTCCAGTTTTGCTGGGTAAACTGAAAGGGTATGGATAAGCACTCTCAATAGTGTTGGTGGTGAATAACATAGAACTAGGGATGACAGTGGACCGAAGCAGGGGCGGAGGGTGTAGTCTTCATCCCTCTACCTGCTTAAAAAAATTCTGTCCATTCCCGATCCACCCCCGTTAATAGGTATAGTTTTCATCCCCATCCCCATCTCCATCTCCGTCCGCGGGTAAATTTGTTTCCCACCCCGTCCCCCACTCAATCCACCTTACCCACCTCAACCCAAGCCCAAGCCAACACAATCCAAAATTCAAAATAAATCTAACATTCTAAATAATCCAATATAATTATAGAATATCATAACATCATTAAAAACTTGTCATCTACATCATAATCCAAAATAATATAATTAAAACCTTATCAACAACATAATCCAACATAATATAATTAAATACTTGTCTTCCATGTAAATCTAACACAGCATCATGTAATACAACATAATGTAACATAACAGAATCCAACATAAAAAAAAAAAAACATAAAAACACAAAGATTTACACTTTTACAAACCAAAAACATGAAAAAAAAATCAAAAAACAAAACAATTTCTTAAATAAAAAATCATTCAATAATATGTAGATTTATATTTACAACAACATATATATATATATATATATATATATATATATATGTATGTATACATATATGTATTAACAACAATAAAGGATAAAGAAGAGAGGGGCGAGGCGGGAGTAAGTGTCAGTTCATCCCCGCATGGGATTATACGGGTATATGTCCACCGTCCAGTACGTATGGTTTATTCTTGGTCTAAACAGCGCGAGTTTAGACGAATACCCATTTTTACCCGTCCATTGCCATCCCTACATAGAACCACCACATTGATAGACAAAATCAAGTTGTCAAAACATGCATCGGAATAAGTATCATTTTTCAAAAATAATGTATTGTGTATCATAAGATACGCGCAATTTAAAAAATTTGCATACCTGCCCCCCCCCTTTCCGTTTAAAAATATGTAAATATGTATTGTTTAAAGTAATATAAATATCATTTCAACTCACTCATCATTTCATTTGATGTGTGTGTCCAATAGAGATCAAAAAAAGATAATTGTTTGTCTTCATAATACAAAGATCAAAATATAGTTATGATTTTATCTGTTTGAATAAGAAGAAAAAAAATAACATGCAAGAGAAACAAAAGATGGTCTCATGACAAGTAGATGATCGAGAGTTTCTTTTATTTGAGATCAAACCCAAAAATAAAATAACACATAGAACAACAATGTTTCACTATTTATTGTAAAAAAAATCATTGTGAAAACGGCGTCACTTTATATTGCGCGAATTGTTTTCTCATTCTATCGAAACATATCTTACGGTATGTATTGCATATCGCAAGATATGGTGAAAAATGATATAATTCGTAAGATAAGTATCATTTGGGTATAGTATCGAGACGTATCGTAAGATACATATCGCGTAGACAACTATGGGCAAAATTATTCGGTTCACAATTTTGAGGCCAAAAATAAAATTTATATCAAATTTAAGAACAACCGAGGATGATTACCATCCCATGCTTGTTATATACAGCTTGATATTACCTTTAGACTCTGCATCTAAAACAGCAATTACATTAGGGCTATGAGGTGAGACAACCAGCATGATGAAATTCAACAATTACTCACACCTAACATGTTTTTCTACACGCTACGAATCTCACAATACTAATTGACTAATTTGAACAATGAATTTAACTTTGAAGGAATTAAAATATATTGCATGTAAAGATGCTAAAAAACAACATTCATACCTGCACCTTGCACTGAACCAGAGATTCTCCTCCACAGTCAAATTTCCGTGCACAACATCATCTTGTGGCACAAAACCAATGATTCTCTTATATGAATGGATTGAGTCTGTCTTTCCATTTATGAAAATGGAACCAGTTAGTGTGCATCCAACTGCTTTTCCTGCAAGAGCAGAAAGAAAAGTTGTTTTCCCAGCCCCCGATGGACCCATCACAGCAGTAATGTGGCCAGGCATGATCTTCCCAGTAACACACCTCAAAAGATGTTTCTTCTTTCCTTTCAAAGTAAGGGTTAGGTCTCGGAAAGAGACCTCAATCACAGGCCTTTTCCGGATTTCATTATTTGTTGCCAACGAAATCACTCCTGAGAAGGTAAGATTCTTGTTCTGCTGCTCCCGAGCTTTCTCTTTCTCAATTTGTGCATATGCATACTTGAAAATCTGACTATGAGTATGAATTTGTTTTTCCTTTGGCATTTTCTTTTTGGTATTTCTATCTTCAATTTCCAAGCTGAAATCTTCAGAAATATCAGGATCATCTTCAATTGCATGCATCATCTTCATAAGATCATTAGGCTCTGTATTCTTTGTTTTGGATGTAGTAGATGATTGCTGATATGTACCTGAACTGCTTGGGAGCATAGGTGGGTATAAGTCATCATCTCTTTCGCTTCTTGCTGGATTCAAGATTTTAAGTTGCTCAGAATGTGTAACAATTTTTTTACGAGAAAATGTGCGAGAAAATTGAGCTTGTAATCCAGATGCATGCTTCTTAGCAGCCTCTTTGGCAGCTTTCCACCTTTCACGTGCCTCTGTTTTCTCCCTAACACTTCTAGCAGCCGCTTCCCTGGATTTGGCATGTCTCCTTTCCCGTGTGCTGATAACTTGGTCAGAACAATTGTAAATAATGAGCAGAAGAGTACATAAAGCAGCCTGCAATAACAGGTGATATGCGCAATATCTATTAGCTGTGACTGCATGAAAAGAGCTAAAGGCATACTTCTTGCTATGTAGGTAGTATAAGACAGAACATGACATCAGATGGAATTCCAAGAGAATGCATACTGTATCAGCTATCATCTATACATTGATACTTCTAGTAACATAATTGTACACTTATTGCAAGCATCAAGATTAGACCAGTAACCTACAAGAAATATCGGAAACAAACACAACAGAAAATAGAATGAAACAGAAACAATAATGAGAACAACAATTTTGACCATGCATTTATCATTCTTATGATTCTGACCACTAAAGCTGCAAGTGCTTCTATTCTTCTGGTTGTCCCAACATAATCATATCCATTATTCAATATTCAATATTTTGAGTGTATCATTTTTCACATAGAATGTTTACTCATAGCATGAACTCGTGACTACCCTAGAATATCATAAAGGTAACATAATCATTTCAGTATTCAGAACAACTTACTATGAGCATTATTCCATATGCATGAATATTTTGATTTGCAGTGTTGGGATCGCATGAAGCCAACTTGAAACATCCTGAAAGTTTATCATTAATGTTAGATGCTTCGTGAAGACAGTAGTGCAGGGACCAAAACTCAAACATGGGCCACAGGAACATGACCAATGAAAACAGCAAGTGGTTAAATAAATGCATTTATTTTCCACTTTTACCAAAATAAGTTATGTTTCTTACGTTTCTCAGATGTAGAACCCGTACGGCAGTAATGCCTGAAATTATAAGAGAAAACCAACAGCATTAACAATGGCAGAAGGGCAAAAACAATTGCAAATACCATCAGATGTACAAGACTATAAGTTTCCTAGATATAAAATCATTTCTCAAAAATCCTGATGTTATTATCAGTACATGGTATAACAAGTAAACCAGGTTGCAAGTCACAAAATGATACACAACCACTTAATAAGTGTTGGGATAAACCCTACCCATTGCTACAAGGAATTTTCTGTGTAGTGGTTGGACAGTAGGAACCTGCTGAACAGAATACCTCACTAGTACTGGCAAAATCCGCCCAAATGTTTGCCCCACCACACGTATGATTTGGATGTCCAGGAGGTAGTTGGTAGGTGTACCTGCAAAGGGCTATCAATGACTATGTTGTGCACACCATAGGTTATTGACAAAGATCGAAGAAGCATCATAATGATAATCAGAACTTACGGTTCACATACACCAGTAGCCTTATTGAGCGTTGCAAGTGGGCAGTAGGAACCCAATGGGCAAGCTTCAAGAGCAAGATAACCAATGGCATCTCAGTAAATTATCAGACACATCTTCCATCTTATCCACAATCAACATATAAGTGCAAAGTTGCAATAGCATGTGTGTGAAAGAAGGAATGTAAGACTTGCCACATGGAAAAAAATACATATGTCAATCACATGCTTACCAAGGTTTCCCTAGTTAAGAGTTGTGTCCGCACGCACAAACACGTGTTCAACTATTGGTACAGCCACATAAGTGTAGACCATGCTTGGTAACTCAAGGAACATAGTTCCAACATGGACTATAGTACGTCCTACTACAACTGCCAAAGTACATCCTCTATTGGATGCAAAATGGAGTGATATGCCTATTATAGTGTGGAAGATGTCTAAGAATAACTTGAACAATGGGAAGGGAAGGTACACTATGTTACTTGAACTTGGACAATCATGCTTAGGTGCTAGTACATTTCTAGATGGCAGTTTATCTAATCTTCAGATCCTAAAACACAAGGATGAGCTAACTAGCACTTTGATTCACATTTTTCTTTTACTCCTTCAGAAGATGGTGTGTTCATGAGTGCTTAATATAGGCACTGGACTTGTTTTATTAGACATGTGCATGTAATGAAGGAATACAAATAAGAAAATAATGAAGGGCAAGCTTGTCGGGTGCACGTCTGACTAGGCAGATCAAAATCATATCCGATTTCCAGACATGTCATGATGTGTCCGACACAAGCATAATATTTAAATTGCGTATCGGAAGGCGTATCGTTTTTCAAAAATAGTGTATCGTATCGTATTGTATATCGTAAGATACGCATAATTTTAATTTTTAAATAATTATTAATAAAATATATCTATATAATAAATCAGATAGGTGTTTGAACTTATGGGGGGTATATTTTTCTCCCCAAATTTCACACACCTAACACACATTCCCCCCCCCCCCCAAATTTCAAAAATCCAATACACACTTCACAACACACAGTTGCATATACATACACACATTTTAATGCATGCATAGTATAATAATTCAGTGTACAATGACTTTAGTCACGGGGTATCGCTAGTGTGTGTGTGTGTCTATATATACTTTTGTAAAAAAGTCATAAACTCATAATAACATAGCACTTTATTAATATTCTATCAACTATTTAAGTTCCCAACATAGTTCAATAATATCAAAACACAAAGACCTCTAATTCAAATTTCAAATATCAACTACTTGAATAACGTTAATACTAATAAAAAATTTTGAATTCAATTGAACAACGTTAACAACAGACTTTATTTATTTTTGTTAAATCATAACCACTGAAACGATGTTCTTTCACTAGTTAGTGATTTAAAAATAAGTTGTAAGGTAAAACGATGTCATTTCAACCCTAAAAAAACTAAAAAAAAAAAATTAAAAAACAGAATTGTCATGTATCGTACGTATCGTATTGTATCGGACGTATCATATAGTGTATTATACGATACAGTACAAAAATAATACAGAAACACGATACATATCGTTTTTCAGGTGTATCGTGACGTATCGTATAATACGTATCGAATATCGTACAATACTAATAACTATGGACACAAGTATTTCACACATTTAGAAGAGTGGAAGTAAGATAAAAGAAACTAAGGGATGCCTAATATATTTGTTGAACATATCCGAGAATAACATGACTTCTATGTCCATGTCAACCAATAGCTATTTAATTTTGTCCGAATGTTTTACAAATGAATGAAGTGGGTTTCAAAAAGAAGATAAATACAGGTTTTTATACATACACTTTTGATATGACAATGGGTTGTCGGGGATTCGAACCCAAAATTGATCGAATGGAGTAGGTAAACTTAAAGGGAGTCCCATTCATGTTTTAAAGATAACTCATTGCTTGGCCATAGTAGACGCTTATGAAGCACAGACACTCTCAAGAAGGTAACGTATTCGTGTCGGACACCAACAATCTTCAGACACTCTCGGACACGGGTTCGATACTCTTTTATCCGTGTCCATCATTAAAGAAAAAAAATTAGTTTCAGACACGTGTCCGACACTTTGGTGACATGTCCGACACTTCTTTAGAACATGGCTACTACTAAACAATAAACATATGTTGAAATGTGATCAACAAAATTTAAAATTTTGAGAACATATAATCACTAATACTAGACATGTTAAAATTGTATTCCAAATATAATAATAAAACAAAAGATGCATAAAAATTTTAAAAAAGAGGAATTGAGAAAATGAGAGCAATTATTTAAATTATATATTAGGTACACATTGTCTACAAAACATTGATGATTATTGACTATTATAATGATGATGTAGTCTAAAAATTTGCACAGATTACTACACATAAGATTTACTTATAATAAAATAATGGATCTTTTATGAATTGCATATCATTATCACTATATTTGCGATAAAATATATAATGTTATATATAAAATATAATTTTTTGTAGCATATTCCCAATGTGTCCATGTCTTATTTTTTTGAGAAATGTCGTGTCGTATCCGTGTCTGTGCTTTTTAGGTAGACGCATAATTATCCCAAGTATGTTTCAGACTGATTCCAATCAGGAAAGAAATAAAAATAAATAAGTCTACCCCATACATTTCAGGAAAAAATTTCTCATGGTACACTTGTTGCCCAACAGTCCACCTCTGCTATCATTCTGTGGATTTTGAGAAGCCACAATGACATCTTTATCACCAAAATTACCTTACCATCAGGAATTTGATTGTTCGAGTTGATATTTTTTATTTTCTTAAATTCCGCTAATGAAAAATATGATTTTCTTCTTTTGAGAAGGCATTATTTATCATATCTTTGACATTCATTTGACGAGTTGAAGTATAGTTCTGTTTTGAGAAACAACCCTCACCCGTACTCCCCTGCACACCAATTTCAAAACTCACACACACATGTAGATTGTTGAAGCAAATATAAAAATAAAAAAAAAATGATTGCAATTCTGCTTGATTCTTGAGAAGCATTAAATTCAGTCAGGCTTAACAACATGCAGTTAGCTCTGCAGCAAAGAACAGAAGATGAATAACAGTCACATTTCCATTCACATAGAATGCGGATTTTAATTTCATAAAAGAGGGCTATAGTGCGATTCCTATCTGAAACACAAAGTTATAGAGGGGAACATAACACCTTAGGAAAAATTACAATGACTACTCTGAGAGATAAATATAAGGAACACAAAATGCATATAGTCAGGTCACCAACAAAGATAAAGGCATCTAAAACCAATTGCTGACATAAAGAAGAAAGCATGCATGGATTCTCAAATACTTACGTATCATGCAAGTAATACCATGAGGACAGAAAAAACCCTCACAGCAAGGCTGACAGTTGAGATTTCTAGCAGGTATGACCCTAGAGTTTTTGAGGTCAACCCCCTGGTTTGAGCCAGCACTACATGCCCAACCTGGTTCACAACCAGAAACCCAAGTGGTCAGATTACAATTTTTGTTAGGCTTTAGGTAATTGGTACTCTGTCCCTTCTCGAAGAAATTACTGAAGTAAAACTTAACCTCTGCTGCTGTACACAATCGCTGCGTAATATCTCCTGTTCAATGAATCGAAACCATCATGAGATGTGAATGGTTAGAAATTATAGCTGAAACAGACTTGTAGTATAATTCGCATAGGAGTTGAATCTCCGTATTTTGCCAAAGATTTTCAAGAGCCAGATTTGATATCAGTTTCAATTTGTTCTGGACTGTTACCACAAGAGAAAACCAGGGATGGTACCTACACTGGCAACATATTCAGTAACATCCTGACAAAATCTTCGTAGATTTTGCCATAAAAACTAGAAAAATTCGAACCTCAAAAAAATGCCTCAACCCAATCCTAACTAAATCCTCATAAGAAAATAGAGACCAAGTGACCTTGTGCCAAGCCTAATATACAAGGTTTTGCCTTACAAAAAAATTCAAATCTAAAGACAATGCCCCTATCCAATCCTGGAAGGAAATCCATTTTGACCAAGTACAACTCGACAAAGCCTACGCCGGCTACTCATTCAGTTATATAAATATTGCTCCAACATAATTCTCTAGATTGAGACCTAACCATAATTTTATCAAGACCATAGACAGATACCCGCACTGTCCCACGAACCCGGCCACATGACCCAAAACAGGTAGGTTCATGGTCCATATCGCTTAATATCTGACCTAAATTGTAACTCAAACTCCAAATAAATACTAGTCAACTATGTGTACATAAATGTACAATTATATATTCTCATATAATAAAGAAAGTGATCATATAAAAAACGAACCACAACCCAAGCAGCGTACTAACTAAGGCTAACTCCATAGCACCGCGAATCGACCCACGATCCAGACATTGATCTCGGCCCATGTAAACTTTAATCTCCCCACACCCCATCATAGCATCAGTCTCACCTCTACCCCATCATAGGAACTCTTTCTTTTGTGGCAGTAATTGCACATGACCAAATCATCTTACCCTCTCTAATAACAAATTTGTAATTACTCAAGTGGAAATTAATTTGACTCCATAAAGGAAAGTGCTGACCATACCTTGAGTCCTTTTAATACAAGCCGTCAAGAAGTCCAAATTATTAGAATAATTGAATGCTCGATTCCAATCAGCTTCCCTGTTCAAGTCAAAAAATAAATATCCCATTAACTGAAACTAGAATTGTCAAAATTTAGCTCTTTTTTTGCTGAATTTTCTCAGGAACAAAACAGCATACGACTTACGGATTCTGAATGCAGAAGCTAGATCGATTGCTGACTTCGCTACTGAGAATAACTGAAGTGAGATTCGAAAGCCGACCGTACACCACCTGTGTGAGGTACGGAAGAATCGCAGGGTTGTTGACATTGTCTTCGACGTTTTGGCACTGTACGAACCGCACCAAGCTCAATTGCGCCAAAATTAATGGGGCAATGGTAGCCGCCAATGTGAGCATCCTCCTCCTCTCTCTGTTTGTACTCATATTTAGCAGCAGAATATGATCATGGAAGTGCTGGTAGCGGCGGCGGTGTTGGTAGTGGTGGTGCTGGCGGTGAATTTTAAGAGGTGAGGAGCTGAGAAAGTGGGAAATTCCAGGTCAATACTACTCCTGGGGGGAGAGAGAGAGAGAGATGACAGACGAAGAAGAGAGGAGAGAAGGTCAAATGCAGGAGTGTGGAGCCCCGTAAGAACACGTCCTAACCTCCTGCCGGCACGGAGACAAAACTTGTTTCGCTGTGTATGACTGGGTGCTCTCTTTTTTTATGACAAATTACACTCCGACTCCCTCAATTATGGCCTTAATCTCAATTTATCTTTTAAATTATTGAATTTCATACATTATAATTATACCTTAAACTATTAATTAGCATCTTTTTAGAATCAAATGTCAACATTCTAAGACAAAGTGAAACAATATCACATAATTCGTGGGCAAAGGTAAACTACTCTCTTAAATTTGTGACAAACATTGATTATCTGAGGCAAATGAGATTAATAACAAAACTTGAAGGTGCAATATGAAAGGGTTAAAATAAAATTGTGCAATGCTTTTCATTTGTTCCGGAATCTAATTCTTCAACATAAACTAGGATTCTTTTGTCTTTCAGGTAAGTTTTTAAGGAAAATTAGCAACAACAATGGACAATTCACAATAAATTTTTTTTGTTTTTTCCCTTTTGGTGAAGTCCAAATGGAGAAAGGACAAATAAACCAAATTCAATTGACAGCATAACAGAATAATTAAGAGATCTGAATGCCAAATCCAACAACATCGTCTCGATGTAGAATTCAGTGAAATTTGATCACTTTTCTTTTTTTTTTTTTCTTATTATCCTAGCCCAAAAAAATGGACTTTTTTATAATTATAAAACACATAACGTAAATTCCCAACATGCATAATTACCCATAAATCGATAATAAAGTGCAAACCATCTTTACCGTACCTTTTTTCAAATCTAAATTTAAATTTGAATTAACAACTCCTATAAATATTTTTCAATATTAGACTCATATTCATATCAAATGAAGATAGACTCATTTTTTTATTCAGATCAAGAGAGATTCAGATCAAAACTCAAATTTTAATGGTGATTACACCATCTTTGGAAGATTTAATAAACATATTTTATCCTATTTTAAATTTAAATTTGTCCTCATTTAAATTTAAGTTTTTCCATTGGAGAGATCTATACCAAATCAAGTTTTTTACCCTTTTTTTAACTCAAATTTAAATAAGAGTTTGAGTTTCCATTGAAATGGTCTTAGACATTTTAGAATTAATTACACTGGAGGTCCTCAAAGTATAGAATTGATCTCATTTAATTCACAACGTTTCAATTACATTATTTTAGTCTCTAAAATATTGAATATATTTTATATGGTCCCTCAAGTAGACAACACCTAGATTGCTAACATTTTTTTATCATAAACTTGTCACGTAATACCTAAATATGGATAAAAAAATAATTTTTATAGCTTTTAAACAAAATTTGAATAGCTTTTGACAAAAAATGTGTAATATGGGTAGTTTTTTACTAAAATTTGAATAGCGTATGATCAAAATTATGTAATTTGGGTAGCTATTTAACCAAAATATGAGTAAAAATTTGGTCAAAAGTTATCTAAATTATTTTTTTGTTCATATTTAAGTATCACATGATAAATTTATAACAAAAAATCGTTAGCAATCTAAACGATGTCTACTTAAAGGACCATATAGAAATATATTCAATATTTTAGAGACCAAAATGATGCAATTGAAATATTAAAGATCAAAATAAGATAAATCTCATACTTTGAGGACCTTCAGTACAATTAATCCAACATTTTAATTGAAAGAGTCTTCTAATTTTGTTTAATGTGTCTTGGGTACGAATAGGGGCGTAGCTAGAGTTGTGGGGTTTGAAACTAATCTCATATTGATTGGGTAAGAAACATTAGATGAACATATATTTCTCAAGTTTGCTTTATAAATTGGGCCACAAAGGGTACTGCAATTTTGTGGACATGTGAGGACCTACTTGGACTTCAGTTCGGCCACACATGTGCGCCACCATCGCTTGCCCCATTTGGGTTGGGCCCCGAGTGCTGTTTAAATTCAATCTTATATTTTAGACAAAATTCATTTGTCAAATTTAATCCAATACTTAACCCGATTTTAATTTCTATCCGTTGAAATTAAAATTTTGTATTGGTTCGGATTTGAATTTTTCCTCTGGTCCGAATTTGAATTTCGTGTTAGTTCATTATTAGGCAGACTTGAATAGTGTCTTTTGGATTGCTTTGTGTTTTTTAGGTTGCATCAGTTTGCATGGTAGTTATCCGGAACAGTCAGCATTTTGTTCATAAATAACCCTGATTCATTAGTATTCTAAACTTATAAGATTGCGAATTAAGGTAGTCGTTATATTCATCATTTTTGCGATTAAGACTATTTTTGAGAGTACACAACAGGATTTTTGGTTTGTTAGGCAATTAGATTGGAGTGTTACTTCTAATTACGTGAAGATCATTAAATCCTAGAAAACAGACGTTAAGATTTCCAAAAAATTCAGTATGAGCATGAAATCTATCTTAAGAACATAGTATCAAACACTAATTTTGATCTATAAAATTCAATCTTCGTTTTTGGTCTACAAACAGGTCAATTTATTTATTACAGTTTTACATATTATTATTTATTCTTTGATGTTACTATTTTGTTCTTAATAACATAAGCGGATTTATCTGTTTTTTGTTTATTATATTTGTAAGTTTAATATCATTCCAAAAATTTAATAAATAATTTTACCATATTGTATAATCCACACCAACAATTTTAAGTTGTTTGCAAGTCTCTTCAAACTCAGATTGGCATTCTAGTTGTTAAAAATGGAGCAATTATGGGGATGAAGATAACATTTTTTTTCCCAAATTATTCTTATTAAGTAGTAATTTGAAAAGTCGTTCAATTTTATAGAGTTGAAGTATTCAACCAGACTCCAAGAAAATGTTGACTAATAACATGAAATTACTTATGAATAAGTCGTGGATGTACTCAATCTATTTGATGAAATGCTTATTTGAGTCCTATGATCTGAAATCACCTAATCTTGTCATTGTCAAATAACTATAAAAGGTGAATCCTATTGTCAAATAAACTATAAACACAGTGTGAAGTAGCTATCTGTCTCCTCCTTTGGTCTAAGTCGTCAATTGCAGGAAAGATGGCGATGCCAATGCGTGAAACAACTCTCTCTCTCTCTCGGTTTTCCTTGTCTTGGTGCGAGTTGTTACCAAGAAGCTCCGTCTCCTAGATTTATAGCTTAGATTATGGGAAAAAAATTTCTAATTTAAATCAAAACTGAATTTTGCCTAATCAATTTTGACATATCAGTTGCCGTATTATTTGGTCTCTTATTTTGGTCCCTTAATTTGGTCAATGTAATATTATTCAACGAATAAAATGTTAATGAAGCCACAGAGACACACTCTAGCTCCAACTCTTCTTTATGTGATAGGCATGAGGACTAGCATTACTTTGAACTTCTTGATAAGATTTATTTATAATCTAGTTATTTTAAACTTCCTGATAAGGTTATTTGTAAACTAATCTTCTTATCTTGTAAAAAAATATTGGTTCAGAATTCTACTATAGGCTTGTTAATCCAAGAAGAATATCAATCTTAAAAGCTTCAATTGATTTGTTTTTTCCTAAGAATACCAACGAATTAGAAAAGTGATACAAGCCACCACTATAATATTATTGATCAAAAACTGCTTAGCCTAAGACTTACAAGAGTATAAATAGTACTAAAACTCTAAAACTAATTAGGAAATAACAAAACATGTCCTAATTATCACTAATCACGTAATTAGGCCAATATTATAGATTTTGCTAAAAAAGGAAAGTTCCAAACTAATTATATGACTTAAAATTACTAATCACCCATATTAAGGCAGCACTGACGACAATTAATTTTGACTTAAAACTATGAAGTTATTCAACTGTAAAAAATTATCAAAAATGGCAAAAACGTGTTTTTCAGATCCTAAATGAAGGAATTTACTTGAAATTCATCCTGGGTCATTGCATCCCACGTTAGGGTTTCCATGAGTTCATTTTGCTTCATCGTTTTCGGACTGGACATGGTTGTTTCAAGATTCAAGTATATGGAAGTGCCTCCTAAAAAGTCAACCTATTTGACCAATCTGATCTATCTCTATTTTAATCCCAGCAATTCGTGTACTGTGATGCAATCCGATCTGCATTAGGAACTTAGCCAAATTAAAAGGTGAAGCTGGGTCTGGATCCTCTTAATTTCAAAAATGGTCAATCTTGATCTAGTTGGTGGTTCCTAATAAACAAATCAACTGGCCTGGATTAATTGACTACCTTTATGCACTCAAGATTCATTTAACTACGAGGTTAAAGAGTCAACTCTTGTCGAAGGCAAAAACTAATTTCTCGCATACTTTTTTTTGAGATTTTATTGTGTCATTCTTTTGGGATTCTCTTCACCTTTCGGTTGTTCTTACTTATCTACCCTAGATGCATTGTTAAAAAGTTCTAATTGATGACTATTCATTGTAATAGTGATTTATAGATGTATTAGTCATTGTTTGTACCTGAAAGCACTATGTAACACAAAAAAATAAAGACTGATTGTGCAATATACATATTTCTAATCTGTAATTTATTTTTTTATTTATTTCTAAAATTACACAATTTCAAATAAATTAAATTCCTTCCTTTTTCTCTTCTCTAATTTTTCACCTCTCTCCAACCGCACCAAATTCAACTCAAGAATGATCAATCTAGAATGCTTATTATAAAGAATTCAATCCAAACAATATAAACATATATCATAACCCAAACCACAACATAATATCAAATCAAGAAAACCATAACCTAATCAAATTAGATTTATTGAACATCCCACCCTTAAATAATGCAACTCACAAATCAAAAACTTT